AAGGTGAGGCCCCTAGAGGGGCTGGTCTGATGAAAGATACCACCTGGAAGCCTTCAGCTAGAATCCCATATTAGGACTTTTTTTTGCAGATAAAGACTCATGCACTCGAAAGTTGGCACCTTTGTGAAGTGATTGGGCAACCAGAGTTCTAATAAACTCACACTGGTTAGGGCTAAAAAATAAAAACTACACCTCAACCAATGATAGCACGACTTTTTTTTTTTCTCACTGCTTCCGAAGGTCATCTGAATAGAGAGAGTCCAAGTTTTTTTACAGTTATGTCTCTTTCTTCAATGAAGTCACACTGTCTTACTCTCACTCTCCCCAGCTCCAGTGGCTTTTTTTTTTCATATGGTTGTGAAAACACAATGGAAAACGCACGATCACCCCAGCTGTCTCCCATTACTGGCTTTGACCGAAATTATTTACACGCCTGCTTACTGGAACTATGGAGAGGGAGAGAGAGAGAGAGAGAAAGAGAGCGAGAGAGAGAGAGAGAGAGAGAGGGAAGGGGGCGGGTTTCGGTTTACTCCTGCAGATTTGCGCAAGCCTTAACGGGAGGCTGACACGATATGATGGACCTGGACGGAGATATGACTCTATCTGTAAAGACCTGTCTGCTATAGTTCATTTAGGTTCACTCTCTTGTGTGAGTGCTTGTGAAAGACAGAGAGTGACAGACAGAGTTAGATTAGGTAAATTAAAATAAAAGTATTCCACAATCTAATTTATACCCTGTTGTTAATCAGTAGAAGGGTGACCTTTATTCAATAAGCAAAAGATATAAACAGAGTGACAGGGCCAGAATGGCTGCCTCCTCCTTGACAGCGCTGTTAAGATAAAGGCCTCACCATGGGGGAGAGCAGACCTGTAATTAGACACACACGGGACTCCCGTTGCTATGTAAACATCCCAACCACTCTGCCTAGCAGCACACTGCCTCTGTGCTGCGCTGCTGCAACTCTTTGCATGAATCACAGGGCAACATCTGGTTTAGCGTGCTGGAAGGGACTTTGTCGGTTTGGCACGCCGTACGTGTGTGGAGTGTGTCGATTTGGACCAGACGACCCACGCCTGCGCCTGCCTCTCTCCTCCCCCTAGCTACCCCACCTCTCAGATTACAGTGGTTGCACAATGCGTTCTGGCAGTCCCCCCTCCTGCTGGCCCTAAGAAAGCGTTGTGGCTATAAAGACGAACCTTTCGCTCAACTGTGGGGGAAAAAACATTACAACCACTTTTGGCATTGCAGTGACTTTTGTCTGCCAGGAGTATACAAATATGCAGACAGAAAGAAAGTTGTTTACTTTGCTGTGCGTATGGGCTGCGAATATGAGCACAATTCAATTCCTTTTTCCAGTTATTGTTTTATTTAACAATGTCATAGTAAGAGTATGTGGTTCCACAGTGAATAGCTGAGGACAGATTCGCATTAATAGCACCATCATTCATCAAGCCGCCCTATAAGTAAAATCAGGAAAGGCTATTAGGAGAAACCATCCTTCAATCAATAATGCTGTTTTTCAGTGAGCCACTAGGCCGGCGTTGTGCCTCCAGTATAACCAGCATCCTGCCGGAGCTGTTTCTGGCAAGTGCCTCAAATTAATATCTGGCACGGTTCCTGCACGGCTCTATTTCACAGTGAAACCCAAACTCAGCCCAAATGTCCACGATATATCCTTCACAAAATAACCGTTTTGGCAAGCAGAGGAGAGGCAACCACGAAATGGTAGTAAGAATATGGGGGGGGAAAAAGGTTATAAACAGCAAAAGAGTGAAGCAGCAAAGCGGAGACTTGAAATATGGACGTCAAGGTGCTCTCAGTCTGACTTTTAAGAGTTATGGGAGGCCCAGATCCTGGATTGCATTACGCTGAGAGAGGACTCATTGCAGACTAATCTAAACATTACGTAAGAGCTCTCCTGACAAGTTTAGAGGGCAGATGTGACTGTTTACACAGATGCTCCGAGATGATACAAATAGACAGAAAAAGAGAGAGAAAGGTGAAAGATAGCTGAAGTGGTGGTGTGTAAAAAAGATGAAGAGAAATAAAATTGATAAGCTTACCACTGACAGTGAAAAAATACAATAATTTGGCCAAATGGAGATGGAAGAATGTGTTTTAATCTTAAAAATGTGTTTATTGGACTGCATTTTATCTGTTCAAATATCAACTGTTTGCATAGCATCTGAAGATTTGTCCATAACTCACTGGCAGTGTACTTTGGAGGAAAGGGCATTTGGTTGTCTAACTGTAAATATCTGTCCCTTGTGACACAGTACAACAATGCGCTGTGCCGTATGAGGAAGAATTTAGAGGAAAACTTCATACGTGACTTCATTGTGTTGGAGATCCTGGCATTGTGGGAGAAATTATGTTTGCTCTGCCCACAGCACATACTGACTACACTGCTATTGCTTGACTAAAAGTCAGCTCTCTGGAGTGTGGTTCAAACCTTTAGAGACATTTTGAAATAATAACCTATGGTGGCAATTAGGCCAAAAGCATGAAAAATGCAAACCACACTTTTTTTTTTGGAGTGCTAGCTATGTAGCATGCCTCCTGCTGGGTAATTATTCCTTTGCTACCACAGAAAAACAACATGGGATGTTGCAGATTAAATCTGGAGTAAGTTCAGGTCCAAAGCCATACATTGTGGAACCAGTCTCTGTAAACAGGACATCTCACAATCAAAAAAACAGAAAAGAAGAATGTCCACTAGGCTGTCTGTCAGATTGTTGCCAACTAACAGATTTTTCATCAAACTGTGGGGTAGAGTGTCAGGCTTAGGTCAGTAAATTGAATATTTTGGTCAAGTTACCAAGCGACAGAAACCGCTGCTGAAGTTTGAAGCCAATGTGGACGTTGCAGCAGTGACAGTTCCTCTAATTACATCTAGTGGCCAACTCCACAACAACTTAAAACTCCCCTGACTTCTAGCCAGTACAGATATGACCACAACCCAACTTCTTACTCGAAACGTTTAGTTCGGCAGAAAAGAAGGTGAAATTAAATTAGTTAAGAAATAAATTTGCATTTTTGAAGTTACTACAAGGAACTTCCATTTTGTATTAATTCTGTGGACAGGAGCGGTAGTGTTTCCACCGCCTCCTGTTGTTATGATCTTGATCTGGCTAATGTGTGCATGTGTTTTAGAAGCAAGTTTAAGAAAGAAGCAACATATTTTTTGTATTTAACGTAAGCTTACAATTAATAGATTTGGTTGCTCAGTAAAAGTATTTTGTGTTTTGAAAGCTAAAGTGATCAACATTCCCATGTAATGTTATGTCTTTACAATAATAAGCCAATAGCAAGATATAGCTATAAAAAGATATAAAATGTTACCATGTAAGACAGTTGTATTACAGTTATGTCCACCATGACCCATACCTCCATGGACCGTACACAGCCATTTGCACTGTATGCTAAGATGCAAACTAACAGCTGAAGGCATAGACATATATACATACCTGTCCAGGCGAAAGAGGGCCAGTTCAAGATCAGTTTTGAATCCTGAAGTTTTCTCCACCTGTTCAATGACCGACCAAGGCTGACTCGTGTTTGTGCCTGTGCTCTTTCACTTTCCCTTTTAGCTTTTTTTGTTCTTCAGTCAGTTCTTTCATTTTCCTATTTGCTGATCCTTTCCCAGTATCAGCCATAACCACAAAAAATATACATCATATATAAACCTCTCTGAAGAAAACTCCCTTTTAACACATTGCAAAACTGGGAAAATGTAAACATGGGCTCTCCGGTCTGCGTGCTGTAAATCGCTCGGTCAGATTTTTGTGGGGAATTGTACGGTGACAGGCATAAAGAATAACTATACAGAAATAGCCAGTCTTCTAGCTGATGGTCTCGTTTGTTTATGTAGGTCATATAGAGGCATCAGTATCAAATTGAGACTGTTTCTGTTTGGGAAAAAAAATCATTTTTGTAATTTTTGTAATATTTTTGTTGCTGAACCAGAGCAGAACCAAAGTGGCTGCCAGGGACTGGCTGCTGTTGAGCATAAACCTAACTTATGTCTTGACCCCTTGTGTGGCAGAGGATGTCTTATAGTCCCATAGCTGTTGTTAGGAGCAGCAATTTTAAAAGCTATAATAAAGTGAGTTGCATCACTACTTAATGGTATTAATCAACAAAAGACTAACAAAACCGACGGCAGTTTTTATGAGGATTATTATTGGATTCAATTATTTCATGAATCCTTTTTCCTTTGTCTTCGCACAGTGAGAATGAAGTGCCTCCTGCAGCCAGGAACAATCTCGATGATGTGCAAAAACAATAAGATAAAGAAGACAAAGGTGACTGTGACAAAGTAAAGAAAGTAGGGTGTCACAGAGTCTCACAACTCTAGGAAACTGTTTCTATTTACAAAAATGTGTTAGACTAAAAAAGATCACAGTAATAAGCACATTCCTCAAATTGAGAGGTGCAGTATTTCTCACTTATTACAACAGGCACATATGGAGTGGGTTGTGACAGGAAACAGCATTATCTAGAGCTTTCCATTAATTGATATGACACACTGATAGCACACATGCATTTCCTGCATCCACCTCTGTAGCAGTTGATTTGGTTATTCTTCCTCTCTCTCTTAGGTTTGCCAGTTTAACGGCTGTAAATTAACGGTTATTTGGCAGTATCTCAGTCTCATTCCAATCAATATGACAGATACATGTAGTCCTGCCGAGTGTTTGTATTGAGATTAAACTTGTCAGCTTAAATGTAAATCCCCCTTACGCACAACTCTGACAAGCACCGTCTAGAAAGGCATGCTGGGAGAAACAGTGGAAAATCCCAGAGCATGGGCAAAGTTGTGGCTGTCTGACTAACACAGCACTGCGAGGCTTGATGCATTGTCAATATTATGTATTACTGATGGCAGATTTGCACGGGTTTAACTTCGGCTCCAACCAATATGAGTTTAATTATCTTTCTGGATGTAAAGAAACAACAGTCTTGTTTCACATGTAGCTAAGCAGTGAGAGAAACTTACCTGCAGATGCCAGGCAGCATATTGCAAGGAGTAACAGGGGAATGGGGGATCTTCTTGCCATTTTGTCACTATCCTGCAGCTTCCAGTATGAGGAAGATGGGCGGACAGGCCTTTCTCTTGCTTTTCACAAAGGTTTTCCTCTCTATGAAGCCGTCCAAAGGAAGTCAGCTTCAATCCGCAGCTGCAAAATGAACAAAAGTAGAGAAAGTCAACCTTGCATGGACAAACACCGGGGCGCTGGGCTCTGCTTAATATACGCTGTGGGAGTGATGAGATGAGACAAGAGAAGCAGCAGTTTGGAGAGCAGGGGATTAATCCAAGAGGGTTAATTGGGGGTCATGCATGCTTCAAAGGACCGTGCTGCACACACCTTCCCGTGCCCACCATGGCCAGTCAGTGTGTAAGGGTTGTGGGACGGCCGACTGGCATGCTGGGTGTTAAACACTTAGGAACATGCCACAGGTTATTAACGCACTTTAATTGAGAGAGTAAGGAAACACTGGATGCTCCAGTGGGGTCTTGAGTAAGCAGCTTAGTACTACCACGCTAATCAGCATGACCTCGCCTGAAGCTTTTACTTAGTAATCTAACCTCAAACATTGACTACCACGATGGGGCAAAAAATGTCCAACATTTTTACCAACTCAAGAGAGTTCCTCTGAACTTTAAAATACAAATATTGAACAATCAAGTAACGTAACTTTATTAAATACAGTCAAACTGAAATTAAAATGTGCTGTTGCTAAAAAATCTGTATATTTACTCCCTGTGTTTGTTTGAATTGTGTACATATTTGACCATTTTTGGTTCCAACATGACCTTGTCAGTACTGTAATTTGATTGGTGCAACATCTGTGGGGGTGGGCATAGGGGTGGGCGATATGGGCAAAAAATAATATCATGTTATTTTTGGGGATTTTGGCGCTAACGATAATCAGTCGATATCCTTTAAAATGTGATTGGAATTGTCTGAGTTAGGGCTCGTGTCCACCAAACGCGTTTTTAGCGCAGAGAGCGCTCAAAAACTCATTTCCGAGCACCCAGCGGGGTTAAAAGTTGAACAGATTTCAACTTGAAGCGCTCTGAGCGCTGCGCTAAAAAAGTATTTTCAAAACCAAACCATTTCCATGCCAGAGAGGTAGACCCACGTCTGGGCACTAAATCATCTGAAGTACCGGTAGCTTCAGGGACTGGAGGTGCTTGCATTTTCACTCCACCATCACAACGCGCTGCTAAACTGTTGCAAGGAGCATGCTAGCGAGAGGTCATGTGATCACGTCATGTGATCACGTAGGCCCACTAGTGTGACTGAATCCTGCCATGCTGTAGAGAGAGTTGCTGCACCGTGTATTAAGTGGATGTGAGGAGTTTCCGCGTGCGTTTCAATATTTTTGGCGAAGTAATTTAAATACTCGAAAATGAAAATTTGCACATCGTCAAAACAACAATGACGATATTATCGCAAACGATATATATCGCCCACCTCTAGGTGGGCACTAAAAACATACTATATATAGGATACATGACTTAATTTTAATGGTCACATAGGCAGTCATTTGCCAAAAGAGACAGCTAATGCTAGCTAGACCAACTCCTTTTTAGTGGGATGAACACAACACATAACACAAGTAATATCCAACGACTGTCAGTTAGCAAGCTGGGCTAACTAGCTTCCACTTTCTGAGTGAAATACAAACTAAACAACAGTGTTGAATGCTCTAAAAGGACAAATGGCTTGCATGGCTAACCAACGCAACATGTGGGCTTGTTCAAAAGTGGAAAAAAAAAATCTACATTCATAGCCTACATAAGGCTACGGCATGCTCCAGTTAGTAGCCCACCATGGAAGCTGTCAGGGCGTCTCCTAGCAACGCCACCCCACAGATGTCAGTCAACTGCTGCCATGGTAAAAACCCCCACCCAGAGGACTGACGACCTAGATGCTGTTTCCATTCACATGTCTAAAAATTGTGTTATTGCTTTTGAAAAATGGGAAAATGTGCACAATAGCCACGGTATCATTACTGTTCATTCTTCAAGTGAAGAGTATTCAAAGTTTTTGTTCAACTTTAACAGTAACCCAATTCTAGTGAAAGTATAAAATGTAGCAAATGGAGTACTTACTTTAATGAGCTGAAACAATGAGAGTTGTCGGTTGTCTGTATTGCACTGTATTGCCAAATCCCATACAATCCCACTGGTTCATTCGCAGTTATACTGCTTTATACATGTTTTCCATATTTATCTATTTTCTGTGTATTTAGTTGTTTAAATTAAAATTATTTTGAGAAATTCAAGTATTATAGTCCTACCCACACTGGATTTTTTTAGGCCTGATACCAAATTGATATTGATTTTTTTTGCAGTTTAAAAATAAACTTTTTATTTTTAAATTACCTCAAACTTATCTTTTGGCATTTCTTTGTTGTTTTTGTTTGGCAGTCAATATCTGCAATAAGTTAGAAATTCATAATTTGTCACTTATGCTGCCTTCTATAAAGACATAATTAGGACTGGGTGTGTGGGATTTGCAGGTGAACTATGTTCTGCAAGTAGAAATAAATCATGAATCTTTACAAAGAAAATATTTCAGGTAATTGTTTTGTTTTAAGCCGCCATCAACCCAAAAACTACAATATGTAGTCTATTCACTGACTTCAAAAAGCTTTAAAGCAAACAGGAAAGACTTCAGATAGAAAGATACATATCACTGACGCTGCATTAAAAGCAGAGAGCTGTGAGGATAAGATGAGAAAAGCAGAGAATTTAAAAACTTCACAAGGCAGATTAGGAACACATACATTCTGGCACGCACTGACATATGTAAATGTAGGGCCTATCTATAATTAAGCAAACAGTGAGTTTAAACAGTATACTTTGGCTCTGACTAATTCTAGATTGTTTGCAGCCGCAACAAAGAAATTTTTTTGGAAAGATGCGGTCCACAGACAAAGTTGTACAAACTTCTTCTCTGAGTGGTTTCTTTATGACAACAAAACTGTAACTGTATCTTTAGTGAAGGAGCTGTGACAGGAATTGCACTCTAGTTCACGGTTTAGAAGCTGGTGGGTACAGTACAGCGTGGAAGAAACAGATGTGCACCTATCTGACTCGTGGTGAACCGTAGAGGGTGTATGAGAGCTGATGCACAAAGTTCTAAGGTGCATCGCTCTGCTGTGCAAGCTGCTTGCACAGGACAAAAGAGCCTTTCACTGTGTGGCAGCTGCAGGGGCTGGGGAGTCATTTTGGACGATCATGACAAATATTACACTTTCAGCTAGTCAAGGGGAGCCAGTGCCCTCTGTTTGATTTATGCCCCTCCCTGACCTTCATCTCCTCACTGACTAAACGAAGGTTAACTGTGCTGCAATACCTTCTGTGAGGCAAAGACCAAATCAAAGGGAAGGTGCACTCAGGACTGAAAGAAAGCAGCATGTAACTCCGTTGGTTGAAGACTGAACGTCCAGATGTGAAAAGTGTTATTATATTGAGAGACCACATAGAATTTTTGAAGGATTTTAGCAGAATATGAACTAAATGTTCAAAGATCACCTCCAGACATCATTAAGATGTATTAAAAAAGTCTGCTTGGAACAATAATGTGTGCCTTATAAGTGTTTTTTCAGCAAAAACATATCATTTCCACATTAAAAAAGTAATCTACTCTTCTACCTCATTAAAAATTCCAGAATCTATGGATATGCAAATTCTATTCAAGTATCCTCAGTGGATGTGCACTGGTGGCTTCAAGTTTCTACATCACACCGTACAAGTTGAATACTGGACCAGGACTGACATCTAAACTCACTGTGATGTCACAAATCATGCTCATACCCCTTAAAATCAGACTTTCAATGAACACAGAGAAACTTTCTACTTTCAGCAGATGAATGTGAAGACATCCTTCTAGTGTCAAACAAAGAAAAAAGAAGAACACATTTTTAAGTAGAAGACTTTATGTTAAATTTAAGGCAGCAAAGCTTACCCTTTTCCAACTTGCTTTGGGTTAGATTGGTCAGGTTTTACTCCAAAAGCTCCATGCCACGGTGCTGGTTTTGTTGCAGCAACAACTCAAATCACCTCATGTGACTTCTGTTCAACCCTGACCGTCTAAGCCGAGCAACTATTTCACTCAAAGAAGATCTGGAAAGCCCATCAGAACATGCAGACCCCAGACTGAACGTAGTGCACATTACTGAAACCAAGCTACATAGTTGTGGTCACTTCAATGTAAAAGGCCTGGCTTATATCTGTGTCATCACATATGCATACACTGGAGTTAAGTGTTGTTACGTCCAGAGGGCAAACACTTTTCCCGTAATCACAAAGCCAGACATGAAGAGAGAAGCAACACTAGAGGCTGAGGCCGTGTCTGTGTTACATACAGAATCTTGTGGTACATGAGTAAGATGTTAAGGCTTACTAATCTGACCCCAGTTTGCTTCATAAGTCATCTAGACGTTTGTGTGGTCATATGACCTGGTGAATGATCTTAAACAAGCTCTTCTCCTCTTTCAGTGTGAATCTGTGTACAGGCTCCGGACTCAGAAACCACCAAGCCTCCCACTGCTTCCATCACAAGAGCAGAGCTTCGAATGACTGATTACCAGTCTTCAGAGCCTTATTTGTCACAAAGCTAGAGACCCTGTCCACATTCACTTCAGTACACAGAAAGCATGAGGCATGACTCGCTACAAGCATCTGGACTGAGTCTAGACCCTGATACCTGCGCATGAGGTGTACCTTTGCCAACTGAGTCACCATGCAGAGGGATGTCACACACATATCTGTGATCAACTATAAAACAACTAATAAATAAAGTTGAGTCATACATAATTTATGTGACTTTTCAGTATTAGTGTTGATGTCTAATTTCTTGAATTAGAGCTAAAATGATAAGTTGATTAATTGATTGATCGGAAACATTTTTAACAACATTTGCTTGTTCTGGCTTCTCAAATGTGAGGATTGTTGCTTTTCTCTGTTTCGTAGCATTGTATTTTGGATGTTTTTTCATTGAGGACTGCTGGTGGGACAAAATAAGCCACATGAAGATGTCACCTTGGGGTTTGAGAATTTGCGAACATTTCACAGACTAAACAATCCATCACTTGATCGAGAATCAATTATTATCAAGAACTAATTGAGGAATAATCACCACACTAATTTCTATGTACTGTAATAGGCTATAATAATTGTTGCAGCTGTTTGATTGGCTGAGAATGTGGCATTCAAATGTTTCTTAGAATAAATACCCTTAGACTTGTCATTCAGATCTGATAACAATTCAATAATCATGCATAAATACTGTAAGGTTAGTGTCAGTCCCTTACTGTAACCCATCAGAGAGTTATTGTGTTAAAAAGTGCCAATTAATTAAATTAATCTACAGTCTGCTGTTTCTCCAGAGTCCCAAAACAATGACCAACCTTTATCCTTTGGCACTGACATTAGTGGTTACAGACAGACAGAAATTCACCGCTAAGTTGCAATTTCCCCTGTTGTGTAAAGAATTCCTGTTGACTTATCAATTTCTTATCTAAAATACTGCTCCTCTGTCAGCCCTCTCTCAGTCCCAGAGGAGCGCCTGGACTGTCAGTAACTGAGTGTGTCATGCTGTCCTCTTACTATTCTAGGGAATACCCTTTGTGAGCACTGCATACACACTGTTTACCTGCGCTTCATGTTTATTGTTGTTTTCTAATCAAACGCGGCCAACACGGGAGAAAAGTGAACGTCAACATGAGCAGCTAACAGCCTGGGGCTTCAAGAAGGAGAGGAAGAGGGAAAGTTTTATCCAAGAGACAGATGTTTAGATGGATTTATGGGCGGTGAAGCTAGCTGGAAAAGATTATTGTAGCGGTATTTAACTGTTACACACACCGTGTGCAACGACTAACCACACTCTTCTACACACAGGGTAACAAGTCAAAGCGTTAGCCGTTAAAAACAAGCGGACGTTACCATGCAGAGTCTCCAGAAAATGTCCAAGTAAACTTGGTTGAAGTTAAAGTCGTTGCTGCCGTGGATGCAGATATCAGAGTGGTTTTCCTCCCGGCTGGACACTCACACCATTCCGTTGTTTTTTTATGGATAACAGACGCAGACGAAGTTGGCGTGATACTTTGCTAAAGTGTGGGTAAACAGCCCCACTATCTCCCACTTTAACCAGTTTACTACCATCTATCTGCTTTTTACTGAAGGCTTAACATGGGGGCGGGGCTTAGAGGGAGGAGGCTGAGCTGTGCGCGAGATGGGCTGCTGAGGAGCTTCCCAAAGCGGGAGGCACGTTCTCCTCACGAGCCCCCCCAGCCTGTATGGGGTCCTTCACTTTCTTATGGAGGTCCATTTCCGCCAATGTGACGGAAAATAAAAGATTCTGTAGAAAGTTTCTCATTATTTTGACATACTAAGTCATTATTTAGGAAAGTTTCTCATTATAATGACTTACATAATCAATTTTTTGTCACATTGGTGGAAATGGGCTTCCACAGTTATATCATATACATTTTAAACCACAGTGGGGAATGTGCTGAAGTGTCTTAGTACTCAGTCCCCATTTACAGTGCAGGCAGATAAGAGCTTTGATTGGGCCCAAAAAAATCAGACCTGACCCAACCACAGTCTGAAAAAATTCTTTGCAAGCACAAGCTGAACCAGAAGCAGTTTTGGGCCCAAACACGAATTTCTGCTTAAAATAAATAAATAATCTAAATTATTTTTACAAGATAAAGTAAATTACATTGTGCATACAGTATAATATAGTGCAAATTATTATCAAAACTAGTAACAAATGTACTCATTAATCACAGTTGCATGCATTATTAATGAAATATTAAATATACATTACACACAAATCTACTTCTGTCTGAGCCGGACCGAGCCTGACCTACAGCAGTAATTTTGGGCCCGAACCGGGCAGGTCCAATTGGATTCGGGCAGAGAATCAAAGCTCAAAGGCAGATGTGAAATTCTATACAAAACTTCAAAAAAGTTATTGTATAGGGTTGCTATAGGTCGCTCTTATCACATGAGGGCCCATGCAGTGATGTGTATCTATATGGGGGTTCTTGATGCCAGATTATGGGAATGTCTAGCAAAGCAAGAGTCTTGTTGCTGATCACTGCACACTTATGTGCCTCAGCCGAGCACTCAAGCATCTATTGCTGCAGAAAGAGGATTTAAATATGTCTCTCGTTGTTGGAAAAAAAGATGTTAGGGATGTAGGGAGATAAAACTGCATAATTCTGGCATTAAGGTTAGTGGGGTGTCATAGACAAAAAGTTCAGGAACCTCTGCATTAAAGTAGTAACCATTATACATATAGTATGCTGTTAAAACGAGGGCCACATCTACCAGAGTCAACATTAAAATGCTGCTTACATACTAATGCATCCATAATAATCATCCAATTATATAATAATAATGATAATATCACTCTGAAAGGGGCCATTCAGAATAATGACTACTACAACTTTTGAATTGCTGATTGATGAAGATAAAATTTGTTATGCAGAACTTTTACTTGTAGGGGGCAATTGTAGTTTTAAACTCTCCTCTGTAATTTTAGATATTGTGATATTGTCAGCAATAATACTTTTAGACCACAAATTTCATATTATATTAAAAAAATGTACAATGAATCCAAATATTGAACTCAGTATCTGCAAGAAGTTTGTGTAAAACCAGTGATTTTGAGCAGATTTAGTTGTTTAGGGAACTTGTTACACAATTCTCTGTCTATATTATGATTTAGTTTTTTTAATCATTTTTAACAATCATACAGATTTACTCCTTTTTGACAAATCAAAATGTTCTTGTCTTTTCCAAATACTGAGATATAGGCCTACTGTGTTTTTAAAAAAAAGTTTTTTAGCATGCTTAAAATCAAGAAGGCCTTGCGACCCCTCATGAAGCTTTGGCGACCCCTAGTGGGGGTCCCGACCCCCCAAGTTGGGAACCACTGTTCTAGACCATATGTGTAACAAACAATATAACAAACATATGTATATACTTATGTATATGTACATACATATTTAGTAGTACGTTTTTCTTAATTTTTAGGGCCCGAGCACTGACAAATGAATCGTATTTTTGGAGGCTTTCCCATGCTCGAAAAGTCATGAAACAAGGCGCACTTGTCAGTCGTGGCAAAAAATTTCGTATTTTCTATGGGTCCATGGCAAAATGGCCCCTCAGGGGCCCATAAACTGAACCCTCCAGCTGAAATCTAGTCAGGAAATGCAAAACATGTTGTAGATGGTATTTCATGATTGTGGTGAGTTTTTGTTAAAGGGCGTGTCTGTGGTGTGGTGTCAAATTTTGATGTACCGCCAGAACACACAAAGTTGCTATAACTTGAGTGTACATTGTCCATTTGGCTCCAAACTTTACTTGTCTGATAAGAGTCCCGCCCTGAACACATCTATTTGATAATATTCAATAATAGTGAGAGCGCCACCTACTGGCAACAGGAAGTAAGCACTGCGTGGCGATTTTGATCAGATTTACGTGACATTTTCATGTTGTGGTCCACGCGTGGCTGCAGCACAACCTGAGTTGCGTGGAGTGCGAGGGCCCGTTCATCGCTGCTTGCAGCTTTAATTAAATTTGTAGTCAGCATAAATGAAAAACTGCAAGTGATCTTTAACCCTTTTATGATTAGACTATATGGGACAGTTGCAGTATGTTTCCCTATCAATTCATACTTTGCAGTCACGTGATTACCATGGTTACCTGGCGGTCAAGAAACATATATATTTACATATATCTGTCACCTTACACCACACAAAAAATACAAAAGTACGGATTGCATGTTTGTAGCTATACACAAAGTGACATCTGTTCCGTCGTGTGATGAAGTCTTCATCTGAATATGTACACTCTGCCTGCCGGCGAATGACAGCTTGATAAGTAACGTTAGTTTAAAAAAAACCTTATGCCGACTAGGCTGTATCATATATGGCTAGCAGGATGTCAAACATTGTAGCCTACCTGCTCATCCACTCCACATAGCATCAGACAACAGACAAGAACAGCTGGGGCAGCGAAATGCCTTTAATCCTGTTCGCAATCTGTTAGGTTGTAACGTTAATGTAGTAGTAATAACTGTACGATAGTATGTATGCAAAGTAACTGTAAGTAAGTAAATAACGTTAAGCAAGTAAGTAGACGCAGTACAACAGTAACGTGTGTACTGTAACATGGTTATTCCTTTTTAGAGGTAATAGGAGAACTTATTCCAACATGCCATGGTCAAAGCAGAGGCAAAGTCACCAAACCATCACAAGGGCTATAACACACATTTTACAGTTTCTGAACAGTTTAGAGCTTCTAACACTTGAGTGTATGTGTGCATGTGCTGCTGATTTCTAACGATATGGGCCTACAGTATACTGTACATTTTACTACTGCAACATCCTAAGGGAGGGGCCTTCTGCAAGGCACTAACCACAAGACCCCGTAGAAAAGAATGTACTACTATTTCCTTTTAATCTGAGGCAGAGAAAACTTTTGAAAGTTTGCACACACTGCTTCTGGAATGGCATTCATCAAGCATTATGAATTTTGCAATTTAGTGGTTTACAATTCTCACTTGTCTATGTTCAACTACATTCAATTGGCTGATGCTTTTGTTCAAAGGAACTTACAATAAATTCATTTAAACCTCCATAATAATGTGTTATATGTGATATGCAACTGCTCTACATGTTGTACATTATTGCTTTTGAAGAGTTGAGAGTAACTTGCTTTTCATTTTAGGCTTTTCATTGTGATCAGATTAGCACCAGGAGGAAGAATGTTATTAGGTCTGTAATCACAATAAACATCAATTGCATACTTGGCTTCTCCCATATTTATATTTGGGGTGGCTTCTAATATTAGGATGTAAAATATAGTTTTCAGCTCTCACAAGACATTCCTGTCACACACTTTCAATTTGTCACCCTACAACCCCAATCACAGGCACTAAACTGTATGCAGAATGACTTCTGTGTGTGAAATCTCTCGTAGCCTCTTGAACAAACAGTGCATTGCTTCGCTGTGATATCAGACTTCCACTGAAAAGAGATGCTGTGTGACTCGGTACAACATAAATGTCAGCTTAGTGATTTACCACTAATGAGATGGCACCTGTGACAAGAGAGAAGGAAACTTTTGTTGTAGAAAACACACACAAAAAACAAAAACAAAAAAAGCACTTGTGTGCTGCTTTTGAGAGTTGGCAAGGAAACGCTCAAAGGGATCAAATAATTTTACATCTCATACATATGCATGTCTCCGTTAAAGTGTTCCACTTTGTTTATTTACACTGTGTTAGGGCTGTGAATACAGCTGAGAGGAAAGAGTAACAGTGCATCAAAGATATGCACAATCTGAAGCATCTTCACTTTCTATTAATGTCACTCCACTCCGTGAGTATGTATTGACCTAGTTGATTGCACGAGCTGTCAGGTCCAACAATGCTCAGATATCATGCTGCATTCAGTGCCACCAACTATTACTGCAGAAATGATCTCAGTATTTGGCTGGGTTGTATTACAGGCAATTTCAATACTGCACTGTCAGACAATTAAGTATCATGTTCTAAAAAAGGTGTTAATCTTTGTTGTTATATGTCAGTGTGGCATGCTATTATGTAGAGTTCATGTAGCGAGTGAGTATATATTGTTATATATTGAGTATAAAATGAACGTAAAATTCAAGAGATCTATTGATCAATGTATCAACCATGATGCATTAAACTATTCACGTTTCATCATGAGTGCATGATGGAAAGTAGTTACAAAATCTAACTACAGTAGATATGTGCTGAAATTCCATTTGACTGAACTCTTGCTAAGTCTGCTCCAAAAGAAAGAAAACAGCTCAAACACATTTAGTGAATCTGTATTCTCAGCTCATATTGGCAGGGTACCTTTATTTGGCAAGCACCTTTCAAGAGGAAGAGCCAGTTCAAAGTGTTTTACATAAGGCAGAGAAAAGCAAACCACATTTAAGCCACAAATAAAAATAGAGAATAAAATGTTTTAATAAAGGTTTAAAGCACAATCTTGTGAGGTATTCAAAGTGCTTTACAGCGCGATAAAAAAGTAGAAAATAAGTTATAACAAAGATACAAATAAACAGAAAAAGAGAAACACAGTTCAGTAATATTAATTTAACAAAGGAAATAAAAGTGAAAGAGAATAATAAAATCCT